ACACCACGCCGCACTTGCAAAGCGATGGGCGGAGCATCGGTGGGGGGATGCGGGAATCAAAGTACGCAAACACCGAGTCTCACTTTTTTTATTCCGACAATAGCAGTAGTGGCCAATTTTCGACGGATGCCATCGGTCGTCAAAAGCTGATAATCGGGGTTTAATCGATGAATAAAATTTCGAAAATACTCGTTTTTCACAATATTGAACGGGACGTTGCTCGTACATAGACTCCTGAAAACGCTTATCATTATTATCAAACGTTTACAATAGTCTTACAGCAAAAATTTATCTGTGGCTTCTGAGAGGCTGGATCTTTCGTCACATCCTTCTTTCTTTTTGAATTGTTGCATTTTCTTCAAATCATCTCCATGATGCGCTTCCACATGTTTTATCATTACACTTGTTGAACCGAAAAATTTGAATTCTACTTTGCATTTTCGGCACGTCACACGCGATGAATCATTCGATTTTTCAAAAAAAATCCCAGGCAGGAGAGAGTTTTACACTCATTCTGTAAAAAAATATAGAGTAAATCACGATTTGAAGCAAAAAAAAAATTTGAAGCAAAAAAAAAATTTAGAGTAAATCACGAAGAAACAATAAACAGCGAAAACAGTCCCTTTTCCGAGAAGACTACACGAGGGTCCGCGCCCTCGCGTAGTCCTCTCGGAAAAGAGACCGGCCTCGAGTCGACTCGTATCGACACGACACGAGTCGACTCAGAGTCGACGCGACACGACTCAGAGTCGACTCGAAGTTGTGTCGACACGAGTCGACACAGAGTCGTGTTGTGTCGACTCTGTGATACTGTGTCGTTTCTGGTGTCAGTCGACACGATTTTTATCGACTTCAATAGTCTGACTGGTCGACTCGAATCGTATCGATTTTTGTGTCGACACGTTACTCTAGTGTCGATTGATCCGATTTACGACACAAATTGGTGCGATATGCCAGCGGAAATCAAGTTGGAGTGTATTGGAAAAATGCAATTTAACGAGAGGTGAAAATTAAGTAATTTTTGATTAATTAAAGGTGGGGGGACATGAAAAAAAATAATGTTCTCGAAATTCTGTTTAAATATGCCCCTCGAAGAGTTGAACTTGTGGGAGCGAGGATTGAGGGTGCGGCGCCGCTACCGACTGAGCTACGCGGGCAAAAGCGGAGCGGGCGCCCGATGGTAAACATAAGGGTGAGGACAACAGCTGTACGCAGAGTCACATTAAGCGTTGTACACCGTCACCGTAGAATGCATACCCTAGCTCCAAAAAACCTTCGAAAAATCTCCTGTCCCCCCACCTTTAATGTTTTAAATTTTCCCAAAAAATTCATATCGAAATTTCTGCTAATTCTCGCAATTGACATCATCATTTCCTAGCACATTTTCACTGATAGTATAATTATTTATGGACATAAATACAGGTATTTCAAATTAGTTGTTGTATGGGCAAGTCTTGTGGATGACTCTTTTGCACACAGCGGTTGGGTTCTCGTCAGTGTCCTCAATGATAGCCTGAAATTCCTGTTTCTAGAATCAATTGGTTACTGTAGAACTCACATGGGCAATATCGTCAATCATAAGCTTGCAAGCAGCCTGGGAAGCCTTGTTCTTGACCTTCTCAACACAATAAGCGTCCATATGATGTTGCATGATAGCCTCCTCACACTCAGCATAGGTCTCGCCGATCAAGACAAGATCCAAGCAGATTTCACAAGTGGCATCAGAGTTTTCTAGAGTTTTTGAAAGGTATTCATTTGAATTTCACTGAAAAAACTTACGAACTGGAATATATCTCTTCGCCGACTTGGTGATATCGACGGCTCCACATTGGTCGGCTTTCTGAGGAACAACGAAAGCCGAAGCGGCACATACAAGAGCAAGGACTGAAAATAAATATTCGATAAAAATACAAATAGGCAAAAAACTCACATGCAATAGTCTTCATCATCGGTTAGGTGATCAACTGATAATATATAAATTTTGCGGAATGTTTTATGTCAAAAGTGTTATCAGTTGCTTTACGGACACGTGTTGGTTGAAAATTAAAAAGTGTGTAGCCTGCAAATCTGTCCGGGTTGTGTGACATGTTTACTTATCGGAAAAGTTTTCGGGCAACTGGAAGATGAAAAATGGGGAAAAGAGTGGGAAAATTCTGGAGTAATTCTTGAGAAGTTTTAGGAAAAAGATGCTCCAGGTACAAATTCTACAGGGTTAGAAATGTTTTGCGAGACCTTTTAATTTGATATCTAACAGATTACGGTATTTGTTGAAAGTGGGAGGGAATGGAAAATAATTTTTCTCGAAATGACGTTCATATAACTCAAGAAGTTGAACTTGTGGGCCCATCGTTGGAGGTGCCGCGCCGCTACCAGCTGAGTCACCATCCAAAAAATATCTCCCAGATTACAGTAATTGTTAATTTGCTTTATAATTTCATCATTTGTTTCATGAGCGGATCAAATACACAAAATCTTTGTTAAACATATCTAATGAAGCTGAAACAGCGAAACTTTTTTCCAAATTTAGTCTCCTAACTTCTTCAAAGAATACTGTAGCCTTAATTACCTCTACTTTCCCACTACGATACACATAATTATCCCCTATTATAAGCCATTCTTCTCCCTCTCGCTTACCAAAGCATTGAATTTCATTGGAGCCAATCAAAAGAGCCGAAATCCTCATTCACCCCATTTCCTTCATATTCTTTCCCAGAAATGTGGCCTTCTGAATCTGACCTGGAACCTTTGGATTCTATTATTGATCGGATGAATCCAATCTCCGGATTTCCGTATCCCATGAAATCGGCAATAAACCCCGGATTTCCAAGAAATGTCGGAGATCCATGGATCGGAGCTTATACAAAAAATGGATTCTGGTTCAAGCTTGCATGGGGCGGAGAAGAAGAATGGAAAGAGGTATGATTGGAATTCAGGCGGCCCTATACATTGATCAATTATCTCGGTTCCTGTGAGATATATCAAAAAATGTTCAACTAATAAAATATTTTTGATAATGTGATAAATAATTTGTCAGATATTTTTAATAATGTTCGATATCTTTAATAGGAACCGAGATAAACTGGCTCAAAACTAACAATCTTGTTTCAGGTCGCCAATGAAATGTGGTATCGAAATGAGTTTCTGATAGATTCGGCTACTTTCAATTTGTATGAAAAAGCGGGATCATTAAAATTTTTAGTCGCTAAAAATATTCGTAAGTTAAACACTCCAAAAATAATCTACATATTTCTTCTTTAAGGAGGAGAAGTTCTAGGATTGGCTCTTCTTTCCAAAAGCGACTTATCCAATTTCTCAATGATTGGTCCAATTTTTGTCCAAGAAGATTTTCGGCACGTTGGAATCGGATCTATCCTAATGAAGGAGATAATGAAGGAGAATACAGCAATTGCTTTTAATTCTAGTAGGAAACTATTCAAAGTTGTACTGCAAGCCATCTTTTTTCCTTTTCAGTATCTTATCTTCTTCCAAAAATCGAGGAAAAATTCAAATTGGCGCCAAAATCGATGAGAACTTTTGGAAGGGTTCGTGTCACTAATTCCAGTGGTTTTCCGAATTTGAAGGTTTTAGAAAGTTTACTGTTTTGGATCTTTTAGAAAACTTACAGGAAGAAAAAGCTGGAGTAGGTCTTCTGTTGGCGTACGAAATCACTGATGACCAATGGGACAAAATATCAGAATTCGGAGAATCTTGCACAAACGAAAAGAGAAACTGGAGACCATTTTCAGACGAGAAGAATCAGTTAGTAGCTGCTTTTGATAAGGTTGGAAATTATCACAAAAAACCACATCGGAATTTGTATTTTCAGGATTCCGGTGATTGTATCGGGATTTCAGTGCTTCGTGAAATTGAAAATGAAGATGGGCGTATTCCGGATTTGTTGGTAGCTCCTTTGTATGCAAAATCTTTGATTATTGCTGAGATTTTGTTGAGAAAAACATTCAAGAAGCATTATGTGAGTTTGGAAAATTTTTGGTGAGCTACTAACTATAAGAAAGGTTCAAGGTTTTTTTGCTGGACGGAGAGTGGATTGGCATAAAAATCAAAGATAAATTGGAAAAAAATCCTAAAATAAGAGAAACACATCGAAAAAGAATACTTCTATTAGAGGTTTTGCTGATTTTTGGTGTAATGAAAAGATACGAAAAAATTGCAGCATGTTTTTTTCAAATATGAGACTTATCACACAAAATCTCATAATTATTTCAAATTCAATATTCTAAATTTCTAAATGAAAAAAAAAATTTCGAAAGTTTCAATTTGTTTTCTGTTTCAAAATATTGACTTCAAAGATAAAGTTCCTCTATTTCTGATCAAGAATACATCAAAACTTCAGAATCCAGAAGACGACTATGATTTCGACGTGGACCATTTTGCAATCTACCGTAGATCAGTCAATTTCTTCGTCTTCTCCTCATCTGAATCCTTTATGATTCCTCTTCTCAAAAAAATTTCTGGAAGCGATGGAAAAGTCGAAAAGGATCGTTTAACTTTTCAAACTTGCTCCAATTTTCAGTTGCCTGCAATTAATCATGAGCTGATATTCTCTCTTTCTGATCCCAATATTCATTTGTGTTGAAAAAAAAAAATAAATTCTGATTTGGAGTTTGAAGTTTACTGTTTCGAACCGTCACTAAATTAAAGCCCTTGTTTTTTGGTTTTTGATATATAATGCATGGTAAAAGAGTGAAAAAGAAGAGGGCTATGTATTGTGATTATTGTGTTAATTCTGATCGAAAAATTAATGCTAAAGCCCTCCAATTTTTTGTCATGTATTCAGTAGCTATTTTATTTTTTCTGTTTTCTACAGAAAATTTTGACCAATCTATTAGAACCAATTACCACTTTTCCGTGCAAAAACAGGAATAACTCGAACAGTTTCAGAGATTTCTACAGTAATCCCTAAATCAGTACACTGCAAACTGTAAATACGAAAATTAGTAGACGTTGAAAGTGTGATTTAGCTTCCAGCAGTTTGTGTTTTCTAAATCTTCTTCCTGATTCGAACACTAAAATTTCAATGAACCTCATAAGTTTTTTACTGAAAAAATTTCTGTTTCAAGTGTGACATAATTCACTTTAACAACAAATCCAAATAATGCAGGGTAGGTATCGCTTCTTATCAATAGAGCACATTTGCAGTTTTCAACTTTTCATATTCCAGATGAAAATCATAATTTCAACAACATGGGCTGGAATTGTAGAGTAAAACTTCCTATCGTTAGAAAACTTGTTGATTTACTTGAGCAAAGAAAGAAAACATTTTAATAAAAAAGTTTAATTTACAATTTAAAGCATCATGTGGAAACAGTTTAAGAATATTTCGAATCTCGTTTTGGTGTACAAAAAGTGAATTTTTTGAAAATGAAAAAATATCGCAGAATTGGAATACTGGTTGATTGTGGAACAATGGATGTGTGTATGGTTGTTATAGGAAACCCGGGAAACCAAAAAATTTAAAAATTCTAGTCCTCTTTCTCGTCGTCGACAACCATGAAGAGTTTTTGAATGAAGATTGTGGAACTATCTGAAATTTTGAAGATGCAATAAACCTCGATTTGATAAAAAAAACTCACTGATAAAATCGTTGAAGAACTTTGGCTTATTTTTCCATCCAATGAAGATTACATAGACTGGGACAGCAGAGAGCATGATGAGGAGTCCGATACCTGGAAAATGTTGGGTTAGGTTACGGTAGTTTTGCCTTGCCACATTTCACCAGAAATTTCTCAGAACTTACCAGTATCTCTTGGAGCTGCCACGATTGGAATGAATACAAGAGCTGCACAACCCAAAATGAAGATAATTGGCCAGATAAGTGGGACCTTAATTGGTCTTGGTGCATCTGGCATGGTCTTGCGGAGCCAGAAGAGAGCAGCAATGGCAGTTCCAATGGCTAACCAGTAGCTGATCTGAAATTGGAAGTTTGAATGTATTTTTCAAATATTTTGAAAAAGTTATACTGTTTAAACAAAACCATTATTGCAGATTTTTTCCTGATCAATTAATTTTTCGACGAGCTTATTATCCTTACCTGAATATAATTAATCAACTGATAGACATCCTTCGAAGCCAACAAGTACGCAATCGAAAGTGCTCCAGTCAAAATAACGGCTGGAATCGGGGTCCTTGTATTCTTATTAATCATCGTCAACACCATCGGCATTTGTCCTTCACGAGCACCCGAATAGAAAAGTCTGGAAGATGTGAAAATGACTCCATTAGCTGATCCGATGGTAGAACAGGCGACACAGAGTGGCATGATAAAAGCGAATCTTCCGTAGAGTTTGTTGGCGAAAAGAACGGCGACAGCTGGTGATTCAAGCATCTCATCTGGAGAGATTGCGGTGTAGAGAGCCACATTGGTGAGCACGTAGATTACGGTACATGTGGTGATGGAGATTGCAATGGCAAGAGGGAGATTTCTGGAAAATTTTCGGTTTCAAAGATTTGGTATGTTGGGGAAAAAGCTTTGGGTTTCTGTGATAGCGCCAAGGTTTAAAAATGTAAGCTTCTCAATATTCCCTATCAGTTTGTGATTTGCGTTACGTAAACCAGGAATAGAGTGGCCTAATTTTCACAAGATGGTTTTTCTAGGACATCTTAGCTGACGGTCCAGAAATGGTCTAACATGCCCCTGATGTGTTTTCTAGGTAATTTTAACATCATGACCTAACTTTTGCAATTGGAGTTTTTAGGTTTTAGGTGAATCTTTTTAGGTCACCATGGTAAATGGTCTAGAAAGGATCTGAAATTCACCTGGTGTGTTTTCTAGGATATTAACTTCACTGATTGGAACGTTCAAACGTTCGTTTCTCGTTCGTTTCTCGTTTTTGAA